TGGTGATTATGCAGTACTTTGAACTTCAGAGCTGAACTAGCTAGCAGAGGATGCAGAGCCTGCAATCTTCTATCACTTTGCTTAGTCATTCAGCCCATTTCATTCATCACTTCACTTTTCTAGGGCAAAAGCCACTGCTTTGAAAATTCCTGTTCCTAAGCTAAAGTCTCCTAAAATGTTCATTCTAGCAGTTTGGAGAACAGTTTTACAAACAGCACACTAAAAAAAAAAAAAAGCCAGAGGATAAAGCAGTGTTTTTCAGTGCTATCTCGTTTAATTTTAAAATACTTGATTTAGGCAGAAATTGCATCCCTCTGTATCAGTTTGTGCTGCATGTGACACACACAAGTACTTAGGACCTGTGCAAACCCTCAGCAAGGGGCTTAAAAAATAATATTAATAATTTTAAGTGATGGCTTTGAGGGTGTTCTACTTCTCTGGGGAGTATGTATTTTTAAACTTATCTCTTTTCAAAGACTTCTTTTTTTCCCTTCCTGCTTTGATCAATCTCCTGTTCTGAAATGATCTTTCATTCACTCTTGAAATCAATTATGTATGGTTACTTTAAAACCAGTACAGCTCACCCTCAGATTTCGACTCCCATAGCTGTTGTTACTTCACAACATGTAGTCACCTCATGAAGGCTTTAAAGTGCTGATCTCTGTGGATGTTCTCTATCGTTCTTGTCCAAAATAGGATCAGGCAGCCAGATGTGGCTTGGCGCCAAACAGGGAATATTGCTGATCCCAAGGCATGGTTATAATATCCCAAGACCTGTGTACCATAATTGTCTTAAAACAATTAAGAACATTCTTGACCACTTGACCTTTTGCTGGAGAAAACAGGCAATATATATACAATTTTGCAATGTTTCTGAGAGAGTAATGACACATTTTCTTTAAAAAATAGCTTATCATTCAAGAAGGAATGAGAGATACTTTGAAGAATCAGTTATGTTTCTTATAATAACTGACTTGACTCAAAAAACTGGCTTTTTCTTAGCTCTATAGTTCTTGCTTAAAGGGGGGCTTAGTATTATATAAGCCTCTATTTCTAATGTAAAATATGCTTCATATATTCTAAGGAAAGATTCTTGCAAGTAGACTGTCAGAAGATGGAACAAACTAGCTTCTACTTTGGCAGAGATGCTTTTAAGATCAGAAAAGGGATTTGACTGTAACATGGCTGCACGGTGTTACCAATTTCCACAAAAGGCTTGTTCCAGTTCAAAAGATAACAAGACCTCTTTCCTAACACCAAGCCTGCTGGTTCATTTTGAAATCTCAAAATTAAGTCAGACCTTTCTTTATAAGAAAAAAAAAAGGCGGGGTGGGGAGTGTCTTACTCCTTGGGTGAGTAGATATGATACAGTGCATCTAGGCATCAGAACCTACTAGAAATTTCAACCAGAGCAATGCACTGTGGTGCCAAAAAACCCCCCAAAAATGGCATAAAACTCAACATCACAGCTTACAGCAAGCATAAAGGCAGCAGTGAAGCAAAAGTGGCATCATTTTTGATCTGTCCCTTGTTCCAGAAGAGAACTCTCTTTGGGTCATGCAGAGCGCTGCCCTTTCCTGTGCCGTGAGCGGCTGGATGTCTCAGGAAAGCAGAGGTGTTCTCTGCATGCTGGATAATGCCACAAAGGCACAATGTTTGCCAGTCACATCCTTGGGGTATGCAGTTCTGTACCGTGCTATGCTTCAGAGGCCCAACAGAGCACAAAACATATACATTTTCGAGGTCTTCATTACTGACAACATTCATGGTACTTAAAAACAGAAAAAGGGAGATAGAACTATAGTTTAATACTTTATTTAGGCCTTGATTTAGGAACACCCCTAGCACAGGAAAGGAATTCAGCACCTGAAGGCATAAAGAAGTAACCTGCACTTTGATGGAACCGGAAGGTTTTTAAAGGTCATCAAAACTGCACGTATTTTCAAGGCCCTTTGCGCTGCCAGAATGCCTGAAAATGATGACCCTTGCCATTCAGATGCTCTCCTACTGCTTGAAAAGGAGGCTCTGATAAATGCCTGCCAATTACGGAAAATAATCTCTTTTGGGTAGGCATCCTGTGCGAACAGCCCAAAACTATTCCACGCATTTTAATGGCAAAGTGCTCTATATCTCCCTAGCAGTGTGAGGTACTCTCAAAGGCAAAGAAAAAAATCCAAGAGATTATATTTTTATATAATCAATATATAAATATCGCTTCCATTCTTCAGCTCCTATTTGTAACTGAATGATTATATTTATCTTAACCTCTCCCTAATTAGGTCTCCACACACCCAGACTGGTCAGCTGGAACCATACCCTCTCCTATGATAAACTAGGATGGGATTCACTGCTCTGTGCTTAATTTCTTCACAGGGAGGCATATTTCATGGGGTCAGCATGATAGCTCTTGTCTGAGACTAAAGCAAGAAAGGCTTTGTGGTGACGGTGAATTTCTGGGCTTCACAGCCCCAGCCCTTCCACCCCAGAAATCTCTAAATCTCTGCAAGCTGGAAGAGACAGACTGGGGATAGACTGGATGTGCTTGCCCTTTTCATATTCCCTTTGCCTCAGCACCTGCTGTCAGAAATAGGATCTTGTGCTGGATAGACCTCTGTTCTGCTATTCTGTCTTTAGGATAACCCTTTTCATATTCCTATGCTATGTTCATTCCTCAGTGGTCTCAGGACAGCTGTAGTTCCCAAAATGGTTTAGCTGCTGGTACTTTCTGCAGGAATGAATTACTAAGATGTGTTTAGACTGTGAAAGCAGCAATAAGCTATGGTATAACATGAGTCTGTATGTTGTTACATTAAAATCCACCTCTAAGAGACATCTGGTATCTTTTAAAGGCTGTCTTGATGTCCCTTGTTATAATGAAGTAGATCTTTGGTGCCCTGAAGTTATTTGCTAGGTCATGCCTCTTAGCCCCATGCAGCCAGCTTTTCTGCCTGTCTCATCAGTAAGCTGCTGACTTGAGAACTGGGCAAGCTTTTTGCAATACACAGTTTATTCAGAAAATGTTTTCTTCCTCTCCTCTTTATGAACTGCCTGCTAACAACTCCCGATATTGTTAAAGGTAGATGGTAATGAAGGGACTTATCTTTCACAAGTAGTTAGATTTTTCAAGCACGGACAAATGTTTGAACTTATGTGGTAGTGATCTTTGATAGCTATGTTTTTATATGTCTACATACAGTGTAAGAGGAAAAGAGGTAGAACTAAAAGACAATCATTCCTACTGTCATTTTTATATAAATAAGAGTAATAGGAAATGGGCTGAATTGTTCAGACTTCTTTCTAGATTCTCATTTGCAACATACAGCTGTGCAGAAATGTCTCTGCTTAGTTCCACACTGTGGCTTTGTGCCGTTTCCATACTGTCTGCTGTGGATTCCTGTCCCTGGCATTGTAGCATTGAAAAGGATAGCTTTGTTCCCAGCAGGAGAGCACACACTTTGGTGCCCTGTCTCTTTGTGTTATCAGTGAAAAGAAGTGCTTCTAGGGGGTCATTCCAAAGGCTCGTTGTGCAACACTGTTCCTCTACTGATTGTGAAAGGAGCTACACAGGGGTCACGTAGAGACAGGTAATTGGAAATATTAGGTATATGAATATGTGACATGCTGTGCTTGGGGCTTCTCTGTGGACATTTGGGTCCTTTCAACTCTGAGAACATTGAGGCATCCTCTGAGCATAGAGGGGAAATGAAGAAAGAGGTTGTGTGGTTTTGCACAACAGACTGATGGTTTGGGTCCTTGTCCATGTGGGAGATGTGGATTATCAGCTTTCCTCAGTTGTTGTCCTGTTTGAACTCACTGCCTGAGAGATGCCTCCCTCTTGATGATAAGAGCAGTGTTGGTGGGTTTGACTGTCCCCATGCCCACAGTTCATTCTGGTCAGTGACTGAAATAGAAATTCAGGAATTGAGGGCTAGCAGGACCCTGTCCCCATAGCCTGGTGTTCGGGCTATTTTGGCAGTAGAGGAGATTTTCAAGGTATGGCTTTGCACTGAGGGCTATCCATCCATTTTGTCTGTGGTTGTCTGTGGAAAAAGCATACATAGCATGAAAGAGGCAGAGAGAATGAGTACCAAACATAGGACTCCCCTCTTCTCTGTAGTCAATTGTCTGAGTGGACTTCTCTATCTCTGATGCCAGCCAGGGTTTAATGGAGGGGAGAATGGACACCAGATGTCTTCAGAATACCTTAGTCTGTGATGTTTGTAATATTAGGTGTTTAGAAATCTCCCCTTCACTACTGCTGCTTCTGGAAGATAAGAAAAGAGTTTGTATTAACATAATTAAACATATATCATGCCTTACACTGTATTGCAATACAAAGGGAAACTGTTTTTAAATTGCCTTTCAAAAATAATTCCAGTATTGTTATTACCATACCCTTGACATGGACATGCACAGAGACAGCTATGGCAGAGGCTCTTCTTGATAAACAGAATTATTTGGGGTTTGAATTACTTTTTTTTTCCCTAACAGTCATTGGACTTTCTTATGGAAAATTAAGTAGCCCTATGTATTTACTTTCAAAAGTAATGAGGCATTTTTGTGCTTTTACACTCAGCTTTTGGTTCTTGGACACTAAAATGCAGACACATTATTTTATTCATAATCAGTGAGAAAATCATTAAGATAAATGGTGTTTTCTGCACAGTGGAAGATTTGATCAGCTATGCTGAATAGTAACAGAGCGTACACTTTTTTTAAGGTAACTGGTAAAACAGTTAAGGCTATCAAGAGTTATATCCAAGTCCTTAGGTATTTATAGACATATATAGCCATCTACCAGGTCAGAGGTTTTTCAAAGGTCTGCAAATATTTCCAGAGGGTACCCAATCTTTTCATTCTTGGAAGCACATTGTGTATTAATGCTGTTATGAAGGAGTGCTTTGACTTAAATCAGAGGTCTCTAACAGCCCCTCTTTCAACATGTGTCATTACCTACTACTGATAATTCTTCCAAAACTGTGGAAGTGCTTTGTAGATAGATGGGGGCAAATCCTGTGACCTACACAGGTAAAAGTACCTCAAATTGGGGAAAACTGGAATCTTGAAGATACTCCCAGTTTGTCACTATGGGTACATATGTGCCAGCACTGCCACACCATACAGAACCTACTGCAGATGTGGCAGACAGCTGGTCTTACCCTGATATGTTGCACTATCTTAAATATGTCAGTAAGTTCTCAGAAACATAGAATTAAACACATGACTTCTCCTGCCCTTATCCCCACTGCCTTCTTCAAAATGAACCCAAGACTGGAAGCAAGCATCAAAATGAAAGAAAAAGGGAATTTGTCGCACACCCTTCCCCTGTAGAAATCTGAAATTGTGTTGAAGCTGTTAAGGTAGAGGAAGCTTAGTGCTCCTGGTAAGGAGCAAGGACAGAAGGAAAGCTTCTGGGTAATGGTCTTGTTCCAGAAAGGAGTCAAGTGCTGGGCTGGTGGGCCAAAGAGTTGCAGGTTGAAAATGGAGCCTTTTTCTTCCATGCAGAGAAGAGGCAGCTCAAGGCAGGACACAGGATATGTTTCTGCATCATGTGCTGAGAAGATACTTGTTAAAGATGACGTGCAGCCTTTGCCCTGACTTAAGTGAGGCATTTGATGGGAGATTGTGCAGGTCTGAGGGAACTGCCCACTTGTATGGGTGTATCTGTAGCCACCTTGCTGGTTGTGCAGTGGCTCAGCTGGGAGTGAGGCCTCAATGAGTGAGTAGAGTTAATGTGGGGAGCAAGGACCCTGCGAGAGAGGAGAGCTTGGTGGCTTGCAGATCATCAGTGTTAACCTGGCCTCCCAAAAGACCTTTTGACATTTCCAGAGATTCTGATTCTTAAATCCCTGTGGGGAGGGGAAAAATAGATCCTGAAAAATGTTGACATTGCATCTTTACATATCTGTTCAAGAGGAAAACAAACACTGAAAAATGAGTTATCCTTCATGATGCAAACCTCATTTCTACATGGACTCAGCATGTACTTTCAGGAACTGTCTTAGCTGTATATGGAGAGGACAAACCCTTCCACCTGGTCAAAAGAGTTGTAAGGAAACTCTGAAAGGTCCTCTTCTTTTTTTCCTCATTTTTATTTCCATTGAGGAAGGCAGTATCTATAGTAGAGTTAGTCAAGAGGAACATATGTTTTATGTTTAATATAAAGCTGACCAGGGTGATATCTAATGATCCTGCTGATATTAAATTTTGGACCTTCATAATTACACACCCATAAATTAAAATTGATTCTGTGTTCAAAATGTGCCTATTGACCACATGTATTTAAAACATACCCAGTATTTCCATGTCCTACAACTCTTATTTCTTTATTCCTCTGTTTCTTCTCTTTAATTGTTACGTGGTGTTTTATCTTATCAACAATACTTTCACAGTGTGGAACTCTGCACTATTGTACGTGACATTTTTAAGAGCAGCAACAAGAAACTAAATAACTTTAACATACGAAAATATTTCTAATATAATCACTGCAGAACTTGATTGCACAGAGTAACACTCTGACACCCAGTTTATGCTGCAGAAGAGAAAAATGTTTAGGCAGAAAGAATATTACAATACTTTACTAGTTAGTGAGGAACAAAACGGAATATGATATAGGATTTCTTACAGAAAATAACTTGAGATTCTTTCTGACCAATGTAGCAAAAGCAGCTCTCTTTTGTTATGAGACATTTTGGCCTTCCACCTAATGGTACATAGTTAGCTATCTCTGAGCCACTGGTTTCAGGCCAACTAGAAAAATGTGTATATTAATATGTATTTGCATACAATCCATGACTCAGAGAACAGCTTCTTTTTTTCTGCTGCAATAATTGAACCAATATGTTTTTCATCCATGGAGGTGTGTTGTCCAGTGCAGTCATGGGATGGATGTTGGGAAGACCCACCATGGTGTACATTTTGTTTCATTCCTGTCACAGATATGAGAAATGCCAGATTTGAGATCAGTAAAGCTATGGATTGCATGTGTGTGTATAGTCCCTGTCTAGCACATACAGGTAATGCTTTAAACAACTTCCATTTGACACTGTGCTTTTGCTGTAGAAAGGCTGCCTAGCACTCAACAGTGAGAAGACAGTGCAAAATGTACCTGCAGGGGTGATCCATCACCCCCTGTTGGCCTGGGATTGCCTTTAGTGAAAATGGCAACATGCACAGCAGCTTTCTGCTTGCTGTAAAGAAGAGGCTCTGGTAAGAAGGAGCAACTTCTCTGTAGAAACTAGACAGTACTTAATGTAGCAAAACAAAACTGCTCATATCAAAACTATATTTGCTCTTGCTAAACATTGCACTGTTCGAGGTAGATGTCCCTGTGATAGGAGCATCTACCCACATGGCATACTAGTTCTTTGCTACTCATATTTAATGTCCATGCTGAAGTACAACCATTGTGAAAGTACATATTTGCTGCCAAAATGGTTTTTTAAAAAAATAAGAAATCAGCTCACTATACTGATAGAAGTCACTGGCTAGCTGCCTTTTCAGAAAGATCCTTTGAAGCTGTAAATTTTTCTCTACAGAAACTTCTAGAGATGTCGACAAAACATTTGTTTTTACTTGTTGAGTTACTTTGAAATGAGGGAGGGAAAAGAAGAGTGACTGTGATTTCAGGAAGCAACTGAGTCAAGTATTTCTATTCTGACCAATGAGCAGAACCTAAGTGGTAAATCTCTTCAGGAAGCCATGTCTGCCTCATTGAATTACAAAGATTAGTTCGGTTCTCACAAATCCATTCAAAAATCTGGAGTAAATATGAGCCTTTATTGTGCATTGAGAAACAGCAGCACTTGTTCCATCAGCTTAATTTTATATTCTTTGTTTCGCTACCAAATACTGAAACTATGCACATTTTTCTGTGCACCCAAGTGCTCATGCTCAATTTCAGACCACAGTATGAGGGTATCCATCTACAAATACGGTTTGCACATCACAGCGAATGTATGAAAATGTGCAGGCTTTCAGAATCCGGCTCCAGGTGTTTACTGTGCAAGAAAATAGATTTTTGCTTGTAAAGTTCATGTCTAAAAAGCTGATTGTGATAACTGGCTAGGTACTGGGTACATGTAACAAAGCCCCAAACCAGCAAAGAACTCGAGGATGTTCTTCATTTTAAGCAGACACAATATCCCTCTCACTGCAGTGGGAATGACGTTGTTTAACATTCGTACCATATTAACTACCTTGCTACGTAATATGCCTATGTGATACATGTGATCATTGTAATATTTCAAAGGATATTAAAATTAGAACAAGCCATCTCATTCAGCCCCTAAAAATAAGATGCCTTTTAAAAATCTCATTTGTTTTCCTACCCTAACTAGTAGAGACCTTTCAAAACAAATAAAGGGAAAAGTATGCTATTTTACACACTACTTTATGCATCAATGAGTAAATCAGAGTAAATTCCATGAGCTAATTTAAAATATGACTACAGTTGAACTAAAACATCTCAGTAAGTTGAAAAAATCTCAGATTGATCTTTTAATAAAATCACATAAAATTTGATGAATCTAATATTTACTTCACTTTTATTTGTTTGTTTATTTCTCATGTTTCTATAGAAAGAGGCTCTTTTCCTCCCAGCCTCCCAGGCAATATTGCTGAGAGTTTACTCAGTGGGACGTGTCACTGATAAAGCATAAATCAACAGCTGCTAAGGCAAGAAGGAAAAGCTAAAGCCAGGCAAGCGTTCCATCAATAGCAACAGTGACACCAGATACTATCTTGGTTTGTTGTATTGGAGATCTGTGGTAAGACAAAGAAAATAAATCTCTTTTGGACATGGGAGAGAACACTGTGGCTTCTTCCAAAGAGCTGCTGGGCTAAAACCTCTGTCCACCAACAAATCAGCAAACATTAATTTGGCTGGTCCACAACCCATCACATAAGGGTTATTTCTCTCAGCTAAAAAATGCAGAGCTCCCTCCTGCAAAGTGGGTGCTGAGGGAGAGGGAAGAGAGCAGAAGCAAACGTGCCCTGATTCAAGTCTGTTTATTGGCATTATGAAGACCATGGAGAAGAAAATGTTCCTGCAACCACTTTTTTAGAAGCCATGATGTCGGCAGATACCTTTCTTTTTGGCCTTGTGTTGTTGAAGGCAACTTTGTAATAAGCCATGCATTAAATCACAAGTGACTAGTAGAAGATTATGCCTACAATTTTGACTGAAATAAGAGGATGATGTTGGTCTGATACTCATGCAGTATTAAGGCTGTGGTGAATCAGAGAAGCATATGAAACTCGTTTATGTGGATTGCTGGAAGCTCCCTGTACTGTAAATGAGGCAAATACAGGAGAGGAGATTTGAATGCAGCAAAACTTGGCTTCATAGGCTGTGTTAGGCTGAAAAGCAGTCTGTTTTAGGCTGGACATTTTGTGACCACTTTCTAGACAGTATTTTTCATTAATTAAGAAGTGGCTTTGAAATTGAACATGCATGTTCTCCAACAGCTTCACTTTATTAAGGGGCCTCTAGTTGGGTAGTCAATCTGATATCAGCACTTTGGGCCAGCCATCGCTGGCTGGCTGGCACCTCCTGTCTCCCCAGCCCAGTTAGTTCAGGTATGTTGGAGATGCTGTGGGGATCCTGCTACCTTCGAGTGTCATGCGGAGCAGTGATTTAGGTGCAACAAGGATGGAGGGCTTTGGGGAGAAGCGGGTATTTTATATTTGTCAGTACCGTCGTTATTTTGCTCTAACTAGGGTTGAAATGGAGAAGAAAGGCCGGTGGATTTGAGGATGTGAATACATGATTGTATATGTTAAAAGTGGTAGCTGAGTATTTAACAAGAAACTGAACGATATCACTTGCAAAGCTGCTTAACTGAATTGCTGTCCATTACTTACTTCTCTGCCTCCATCCTGTTGTTTATATTTCTTTTCCAGCAGCTTCAGTATTCTTTCTTTGTCTCCAGAATTCTCTTCTGGGGCAAATCCTAGCCTCCCACCTCTGAGGCCATCTGCAGATTTCCCTAGGCTGCTATTATATGAATAATCAGCTGTCTCACTTAAGAGATTGTCTTTGTTCTACATCATTAAATGCTGACTCCTGCTGCTGCTATGACAGATCACTTTACAGGAATCTACAAGGGTAGCTGTCTCTGATGTTAACAGTGGATCTTTGCTGTGGAACAAAAGAATACGCTGAGGCAAGCCTGAGATGGTTCAAATTTGTAAGATTTTAACACTGGGAAATAAAAAAAGGCTGAAGCTGGTGTGTGTATACCCACTTTGAGATCTTTATTTCTAAAAAATGAAGAAGGGTCTTTAAAATAGGATTGAGTAATTTTGTGCCCAGGGACATAATTCATAGCTCTCATCAAGATGGTGGTGAGATAAGTCTTTTGGTGAGGAGAAGGGGAAAATACAATGGGCTAGGAGGGAATTCAAAACATGCCTACCTTGTTATAGGCAGACTGTAGAAGGAAAATGCTTCCATCAAAAGCGTGAGTAATGGCCACTAGTGAAGGCACAGTAATGGACTAAATGATCTAAAGGTTTCTTCTTCCACCATGGTCTTTTTGTTGTGAAGTCCTTTCCCAGATATCTCCCTGACTGCTGCAGCTCTCTGCTAACTCTGTGTGTTAGCTACTCAAGAGCATCACTTCTATAGATGCCTTTGTGAAAGGTCGGGTTTTGCTACCACTCTTTAAAAACTGGACACGTATCCGGCAGCTCCCTCCTTGTCTCTGGCTGTATCACAGTACCCTGTAGCCAGCAGTTTAAGCCCATTTGCCCAGTACGTTTTCCTGTCTACTCTTGACATGCAGCTGCCTTTCTTTACATGGAAACGGCGTGTTTTCAAAACTTCCTCCTTTCTTTGCTTATATTGAAAGAACACTGAAATGGGCAAATCTCATGCCTATATACATGTGCAAATAGGTTTGAAACTGTGACCCCCTAGCCTATGTTTTTATTCTGCAGTGCTTTTAAGCAGCAACCATTACACACCAGTGGGACCCCTTTCAAAATGGACTGCAGTACTGGAGTGCTTCCTAGGCTGTGGCATGCCATCAGCTTGGAGAACATATGGTGTCCTGTGGCTGAAACATGCTGTCCATGCTCTTTTTGTCCTAATGGCTGATTTCTGCCTTGAGACTTAATTCATCCTTTGTGTGTTAGTGTGTTTTATTTTAGCCTGGTTGTTCCTGTAGTGCTGTGTCGTTTGTACCAATGCGTTTTGTCTGTTTTCACATTTTGGAGTTAGTTTTGTAGATGGTATGGTGACGGGACGTTCATGGCATGGTGGCATGTGTTCACCTGAATGAGAGGCTCACCAGTGGTGACTCTGCATCATTGCTGATAGCAGAGGATGTTGTTTCATTCTCTTTAGCCTTAATTCAGTCCATGTTCTATCTAAATCTGGTTTGAAGAAAAATTGGTTCTGCTAGGAGGAAAAAAATTAAGTAGTTTTATTCAATGTGTACATTCCTTCACCTGAAAGCCCCTTGGCTGGATTTTCTACTGTATTGTCACAAACCCCATCAATCTCTTCAATTTCTTCAGAAGGAAGAGAGGATTTGCAGGTTAACCGGCTGGAAACGCAGATATGGATAAAACCAGACATACAGAAGACAGATGTGGACTTTTCAGAAATTCTTAATGCAATACAAGAAAGTAAGTTATTCCTTGGATGCAAAATTTGGTTTATGGTAGAAGAACCAATTGAGATGCATTGAAATTATAACTGAAGGAACAAACAAATGATGAACTGAATGATAAGTGAGTATATATTACTAAAATCTCCCAGAAAGTTTAATGGGTTACTGAGGGCCAGTAAGAAATCTTTTACTATCAAAGAAGTCACAGTAAGATTTGAATGATTGTGTGCCTAAGGATTCCAGCAGTATATATTTCATATGCAGAAGTAATCAGAAATATTAAGATTCCCATTACTTTAATCCATTATTTGCACTCTTGAATGGATGTGTGAACTAATAATCGTGTGCAAATGCTGCAGTCTGAGATCTAAGACTGGATTTGAAGGTCCAGCTGTTCCAAAATGTTGGGGTATATTCACATTTTTGCAGCTGGTAATTTTTGGGAGCAGAAGTGATGAGCTTGTCACAACAACTGAGGGACTGCGTATCTTAGATACTGCATGAAACCATCTCTTTTTACGTGTATTGTGCTGTGGAATAAGAATTGATTGGTCCACCCTTCTTAAACATAACTGCAGAATGATCTCAAGACTTGTGCTAGAAGAAATACTACTCTTGTTAACAGTAGCGGAAGACATCTCCCCCTACCCAAAACTGACACAACTCTGGAATCCAAAAGAATCTGGAAATTTCTGTGGAAATTTTCCATACTAGATTGAAAGCTCTTATGGAGGCTAAGAATCAAAATGCATGGCATGGCTTCCTGGTCTCCCTCTTTTCCAGTTTTATTTCTAACTGGGTGTTTTGTATAGCAATTTTCTGAAGTGAGAAACAGCAATTTATGTTCTTCAGTGATAAGAGAGGTATAAGAATGTGTAAAACCCTGCATTCCTCCCGACTTTTGCCATATGAATAAGGAACCGTGCAGTGGTAGAGTCAGGTAGTTTGGTGGTGGTATTAGTTTGGGGCTGGAAGGAAAACTCTCAGGTTAGTATGATGACAGGGGTGCTAATCTGAAATTTAATCAGCCCATTATTTAAGATGTAGGTTTAGGAGGAACCCTGTGTTTTGTAACTTCAAAAACTTTTCCCATCAGGAAATCTTAATATGAGATTTTGCTTTCTCCCCTCTTCTCCGCACCCACACAGCCCACATATAGGCCTGGGGGCAGTTGGGATGTGGTCCAGAGGGGCTGAAAAGGCACTGTAGTCTTCTTCAGTTCAAGCACATGGCTGAGAAGAATAAAAATGGATGATTTGCTTAAAACAATTAAATGTCAAGATTGGATTATTAACAGTGTTTGTCCAAAGCAGCTTTTTTTTTTTTTTTTTAATGGCCATATCTCAAATTCCCTTGGTACTATGTCATATTTCGATATCAAACTCTCAGATTATATTCCTGTGCTGAATAGACCCAAATTTTCACTCAATAGGGCACAGGTTTGCTTATAACCTCAAATGTTAAACTTCTAGATAAAAACCCTAGTTTCTTTTAAAAGTATGCCATTTTTCTGTGGCTATGAAGAAGGCATTCATCTAACTTGAACATAGGGGTTTGCAATTAAGGTATCAAGATCTGAATTAATTGTCTAAGCTCTCTTTGCAATCAATCGAATGTAACTAGCATATTTACAGTCCGTTTTAAAGCAGGCATCTAATATAGATGAGATGACCTGCAACTTGGAGGTGGCTATTTGCCTCTGTTGCCTGCAGATGGAATTTAGGGAGACGAGCTAATTTGAATCACTACCACAGCTTAGACACAAACATCTGCCCTGTGGATGTGTAAATGTAGGTGAGTCCCACCCTAAGTAAAACAAATATTTGCAAGTGCTTAATGGATGTAAACTGAATTAGAAGTGGGCTCCCAAAATATTTTAGCAATTTTAATATAATTTCAAAGCTAAATAACATTAAACAAAGAGTCTTGTAAGAGTTAACACTTTGATTTATAGATTATTTGTGAGCCATTTGAGAAGGATGCAGCTTTTACAGCCTTGGAGACAGTGTTTTTTCTTTATCCAGACCAGACACAGTTGCTGTTGGGAAGTTAATCTCTATGTCCTTCAGCTACATTTTCTTCTGGAAAGACAAAAGGATTGCTATGACTGTACAACCCAGTTTGCAAAGTCTTGGTATGTGTCCAGGGGAGTGTCTTTTCACCTGCAGTCTGTTGTGAATATCAGATAATTAGAATAAACATGCCCAAATATTCTTTCTAGGGTGGTTGCTCTGAATAGTCATTGTTACTTTTATTCCCAGTTGTTGTTAGCATTGAATGAGAATTTAAAAGGGCTAATGATGCTTTTAAAGACCACATCTTTTTTTCTTGCTAACATGAGTTTCCTGAGCATTTCACTATTCAGGAGGTGCCTTTAGCTAGCTGGTATATCTTTCTGCTATCTTTCTGATATCTATCACTGCCAAGAGTGATCATTCAAGGGCAAAGATTGTTTTTTTAATTTAGTTACTTAAACATTTTGTTCTAAAGCAACTTTTTTTCCTTTACCCTACTGAATGTCTTAGACTGCAACTGAAGGTAAAGATTTACCATCTCATTATTTACTTTTATGTGAATATGCTACTATTATAAAAGACTTAAAAGTAATTTTTACTGCATCAGAGCTAAATTCTGCATTTAAATACCATAGTTCACGGCAGAGTCTTAAACACATTTTTTTAAAGATTTCTGGAAAATCTTTTATACAACAGAGTCTTCTTGACCACATGATATTGATAAATTATCTGTAGTCTACCAGAGACAGTCCAGAAACAATACTTACTAATCTGAAAATGGCTATAGACACACACTCTAAAATAGGAAATTGCACTGGGTGTAAAATTGCAAAACATCGTGATGCATCTGACCTAAACCAAACTTGTAAACTAGACAGCAGAGGTGTCAAAGATCTGCACAAACTATCTGTCAGATATAAACCAGATTTTCTTATGGTTGCCTACTCTGAGCCTGTACCCATGCCACAGCCACAGCCAGGAGCAGGGCAGCTGGGGGGCACTGGGGACAGCCCCAGCCCTGAGTATTGAGAACCTCCCCGGTGCAGTGGGGCCATGGCCGGGCCAGGCAGGGCTGGTGGGGAGCTGGAGACTAGCCCTGCTGCGGCATCGCTGGGGCAGGGGCTGACAGTCCTGGGGGGCTGAAATGGGGTCCTGGCACCTGGACAAGGTGGAGGGAGTCCCGGAGGTCCAGGCAGGGACAGCCAGGGCTGGGGGTGCCCTCAGGGTCGTGGCAAAAACTAGCAAAGGCTTTCATGGCTGTTTCCTAGTTATTAAACTGAGAAGATGGACTTCTTGTGGAAAAGAAGTAAATAGCTTTATTAAAAAAAAAAAAAAAGGATCGGTTTTCAAACTTTTTTCATGAATTTCTATAAATTGCTTCAATGTCTGAAACTTATTTTCATTGCCGTTGTGGTAAAGCCAAAATTCTAAGAAACCACTGTGTCATTACTGAATTTAGCATTTAACATGATAAAAAGTTCTGTGCTGCGTGATATCTGTAGGATGGCCTCCTTGAAGCAAAGATTTTTAATTTGTATCTGCCAGCCTTCCTGAGCGCAGAAAAATGTTTGTAGCCAAAAATCCAAATAGATGCTCTAAAAACATTAACGTGTAGTACAACAAGATGCAGGAAGGCTCTTGGTTTTTCATAACTGAATTCTTCTGCTTTGCAAGTCTCTGCAAAACAGGAGTTTTCTAATTAGGATTTTTATTAAGGGGTATTCTCCAATATTGGTGCTTTTAAACCCAATCATTTTTTCCACCACCATTAACGTGGAAATGTTCTATACTTACTATAAATGTTGCCAGTAAGAATTTTTAAGGAAATTCATTCTTCAATGTTTCTGATGGGCCTAAAAGCTTCCAAAGAGCAGTTTCTGGAACATTGATCTTCAGCTTGCATTATCCAAAGCTTGAGTATACTCAATGGCTCGGTGTGACAATTGGTAATAAGTTAACAAATAATTAACAGAAACACGATCTCTGAGCATGCATCTGTCTTGCCACATGAAAATGTAGTCAGGTCCCATTTTTTAATGAAAATTCCTATTTTTAGGCACCTCAGGTTTTGAGCATCCATCTTGAGAAGGTTAAGGGAGTTGTCTTATCTTTAAGCCCTACCTAAATCAGCCTCTTGGTCCAAAGTGGTTTGGGGACCCACTGAAATTTTGTACGGACTCCTGCTCAGAATTTCCCATTATTCAGTTTTCAGAATATGTGGTTCTATAATATTTGGGATAAAAATATTTGTACATCCACATTTTTTCAGCTCCTCAGGGGACTCTGAATGATCAAGTCATTTTGATTTTTTTTCCACAAAATGGAACATGAGGGGGAGAAAAGAACTTGCATATTTAAGCTGATCTAAAACCAGAGGGGGAATTCTTAGTACCTCCTGTAGCAATGTACATGCTGCTCTGTATTGCTGTTAAATTTCACTGCTTGAAAAGACATGACTATACACTAGCACCAGTCTGTCCCCCAAACAGCATATATATGATAGAATTATTATATATCATTCTGTTAAGGTCATTTGTGGATATATGCATGTCATGATCTGAAGAGGATGGAAAAGATGGAGCCCTGATTATGCCTTTCGCAACATTTGGCAGCATAGGTGTCCAAAAAAGCCACAGGCAGCAGGACAGTTGGCTTGGAAGTACCATCACCATTATTAAAGCAAACAGGATTTTCTTTTTAAATTATTTATTTATTTTTGTGGAACAGTATTTTATGGAGGGGTTTTTTTAAGTATCCAGTGAGATTTGGGGTAGAAAAATGTTCTCAACAAATGTCAGGGCCCCATGTTTAGTTTCAGTGCCTGAGTGTATTTTCAAAACCATACACAGCAAGGCAACTTCAGTGTGAAGATCTCCACTTTCTCACCAGCAGCACGCTTATACTGCAGCTGGAAGAAGGTAACAGACACCTTTAGCGCTGATGAGGTAGTTCAGCACATCTCTTCACTACTTGTCCTATTTGCTGAAGCACACTTCTGATATAAGCAATTTCCTACTACTGGCAATCTGGACAGGTCCTAGTAGCTAATTTCACTAACTAGCTGAGATTCACGGCTTCCACAACTTCTAGTCACTGCTGAGATGGGCTGGATTTTAAAATGACCTTGAAATAAGATTTTTTAGTCCTCAAAAGTCCTCAGAATAATCCAGTAATTCTCTGCTTGAAACTCCCAAACACATTCACTCTCTTACACGCCAAGTTGTGTCTCTCAAAACACCCACTTAAAAAACATCTATTTTGCAACCCAAAGCATTATTGGCACTTCAGGAAGCAGCAATTTGAGTATCTCAAAGGCCTCATCTTTTACAGCAAGGCAGTCTTAATGGCAGGAAAAAGCTAGTTCAAATTCCCTCAAGCATAGCATACAGGCAAAACTTTCATTTTTACATCTTTCATTGCCTCTGTCTGCAACAGATTTATATCTTGCATGATCTTCAGAAAGCTTGACTATTTAATTATTTTTGTATTTGCCACAGTTGTTTTCAGACTATATTGAGGTGTTGATCATATACAGGTTCACATGTTGCTCTCATGGAGGCACTCTGCTGGGTTTCAGTTCAGTGAAGTTTCAAGTCATTCGAAATGTTTTCTGCTTCAGTAGTTCTTTCTGTTGAGTATTCAGATGAATAATTCTTCTCATATGAACATGAATGCAAAAACTGGTCATGATCTACATCCAGACTATTATCTGATGGGGTGGAATGTTTCGAATCTTGCTCTTTGAAACAATAAGGACAGTGTAGGGCAAGTGGTTAGACTGTGCTGTCTTGTGGCAGTTCCCCTGTCTTTTATAGGCATCTCTAGTATGATCTCTGTCGATTTAAATGGATCAAGGTTGTAAATAATTCTTTAACATTGCTGCTGCATGTGGTACAAATTGGAGCCTGCTTTTTGCCTTCTAAGTCTCCTAAAACCTCTGTAGTTTGTCCTAGGACAAATTGGAGACACAGTGACACTGAGGAGCTGCAGGCTCTCCCCATCACATAAACCAGAACAACATGGAGATGTTCTTCTCCCCTCCTGTCAGTAAGCTCACCTTTAACTGGGAACAGGATGGTGTGAAGCCAAGGCCAGTCTTAAAGTGGAAAACTCAGTCCTGGGCACTTGTCTCTAATGATATCCTGGCACCTTTCGCAAAAGAAGGACAAGTGAAATAAATGGACTGATAAGTAAAAACAGCCCTTAAAATGGCAAGCAAAACTTAGTACCTGCAAAAAAGAGGTTTTATATCTCTGATGTGTCCACAGACTGTGATGATATGCACACTATAAAAGAGAGTGAAGTAGGTGAAACGATTACTCCCAGTATCTCTGTAAAAGCTGATTGAGATCCTGCAGGACAGAGGATGCTATCTAAAAATGATGAATTATGATATGAAGTGTTAAGTAAGGCTTAAATATTGTGCAATAGTAATATTGGGATGCAAAGAATGATAGATAGACTAGTCAGTATGCAACCCCAAAACTGCTAAACTTGAGGAGTAGTATGTTATCCTAAAAACTGTGAATACAGAATTTCTTATCGTTATGCTGTCTAGATGGAAAAAAAATCTTGTTAAAAGATTAAAAGATTAGAAAAACTCTGAATTTCTATTAAAAATTATGCTGCTAGGGTTAGTTCATTAGCTTAGTATCTACGGTGGATTCCTTTGGGTGTGAAGACTTTTCTGTTGTTTCTGAAACTTTTAGTGTCTTTATAAGCAAAAGTATTGCAATTGAAAGTTCAATGAACCCTGTCCTTATTTTATACATGAAAATGGAGAAGAAAGGGTACCTACCTACATCTGTAATAACAGACTTTAGATACTGTAAAAGACATGTACAAAAAGGGAATAATTTCTTCCCTGTGTTTGTGGTTGATTGATAGGAAGAGAATAATACATTTAAATTGCAACATAGGTGCATATTCTGGATGAATATTATGAAGAAAATTTTCACCTGCTTGTGATAGTGAAAAATAGTCTACCTTGCAGAGACTGTGGAGTTGGTAGCATTGGAGATTTTTTTTTAAAACGTTTCTTAAACTGGGCTATAGCCCCTGAAGAAGGGAAAGGTGAAAAGGAGGTCACAAAATGCTCATGATGGCTGGGAACAGTTAATGGCCTTTAATTTCTGGCAGCTATTTAGTGTCTCCACAGTGGGGGAATGGATTTTTACACCTGCAGCCAGGAGTTAGAAATGGAACTAAGCTGCCGCCAGCAATTAGAGATGTTTAGCTGTTCCCCGTTAATATAAATTCTTGTCATCGGGAATTACAATGGCCTGTCACTAAGTTAGGGGAGTTGCAGAGAAGTAAAAAGATCAGGAGGTTATTGCACAACAGAAAAATGATTCCAGAAGTCAGTTAAGTTTGAAAAAAAGTGTAAGGAATAGCAGGTTAGGCAAGTTTGAGGAATAGCAGGTTAGGCAAGTTTCTGTCTCATAATTCTGGATTTTGCCTATGAAACATGAGGTTGAAGAGGTGAATTCTATCCACGGTTGAAGCTCGATCCTCAGAAAAGGCTTTTTTCTTCCCTCCACCACACATCCCTTCATCATGTATTTGCACCTGGCCTGCAGCATGTGGGGTCCAAAGGTGGTCCTCGCTGGCGGCACCCTGCCTGCCTCACGTCTCCCATCCAACAGCCACCCAGTCAGCAGATCAACAGCCCTTACGTGGGATTGTAGACCTGCACGGCAGCTCTGCCCACAGCTTCTCATAGCCTCCTTGCTCAGCAGAGCAGAGAACATCACCCTAAGCTACTGCTACTCTAATCTTGAGTGCGGTGCCAGCCTTTAACGCGTTCCTTCTAGTGTTTTGGCTTGTTTTGTTTTTTTTCATTAGAGTAAAATTATCACATGACATGGCTTTGCATGAAAGGTGGAGGAAATTCGACCCAATTACTCAAGCAGGTATCTCCTGTCAGGGCACCACGGGGGCTGGGGTTCCCCATAGGGGAGGCAGGGCAGGGCCTGGAAGCCTGGACCTGTTTACCCACCCTCCCCCCTGGCTAGGGTGGTGGCATAGGCCCAGGCTGCCAGGCCCTGCCTGGGGCTGGGGGGACAGACTAAGGGCAGGCTGGGATGTCAGCCCATGGGTTGACATGAGGTTCAAGCCCAGTGAGGAGGAGCGTGGTCAGACACAGGCTCGGGATGGCTGAGCAAGGCCTCCCTGTGGTGTCATCTGGGGACTTCTCCCCACAGACACAGAGAGGAGGGGCTGCCCTTGGCTTCACTGGCTCTGCCTTGGCACTGAGCCCCACTGCCAGACCACCAGGATGGGGGAATGTGCTCCAGACCCTTCCATCTCTTCACTTTTTATCTGAGTTGGGTATACTACAGTTTCCTGTAGATTTAAGGTATTGCTTCATGCACAACTGAGGGCTGTGCAGTAGGTAGATCTGAATGTGCCAGCTTTATATGCATCAAAACATGCCAAATTGCGCAAAGGCAAACTGTTACCCAGGCTCATTTATTCAGTACCTTTCAAGTAACTACTTACTTGAAGTCTTCTGCCTCTGGCTGCCCCATAGGTCTGTACAACTTCTAACTCAATACATTGTGTAGTAGGTTAAAAACCTGCTTCTTTATAATAAGAAATTTTCAGAGACCATAGTAATCCAGACAGCAATTGTTTAAGCCACTTACCCCAAGAGAAGCTGAGGAGATAGCTAATGTATGTTTTATTGTGACAGATGATTACTTGTTTGCCATCAGAAAGGTATTGTGGTATCCTAAATCTTTATGTGGCTCACTGGTAAAGAAAACACTACTCCAACATGCATCAGATTTTAAATTTAACGTAGTAGATACTTAAACCAGAACTAAAAAGTGGGATTGTTAATAATGTGCTATATTTGGTGTCTTCATTTGGCTCAATAGTAGTTTGAATGTATATTTTTGTTTTTGTTTTTAGTAGCTAAGGATGTCAACATTTTTTTTGATGAGTTAGAAGGTGTGAACAGCCCTTCCAAAGACGATGACTCCCTTCTGCACCACGGTAATTTGACCAGTACTTCCGATGATGCCAGCAGGTTGGAAGTTGTGGGAGAGGTAAGAACACACAGAATTATTAATGTAATAATTATTCATACCCATTATAAAGAGGGAATAAATATAATTTGATTTTAAAATTCATTCTGTGCAAGACAACTGGTATCTGACCTTTGTTGTGGGGACGGTTTTTACATTCTACGATTATAATGCTGAAATATAAAATATCTCCAGTTAAAAGGAGGTTTTATTTATGTCATGCACCCCCACTGAAAAGTCTATGCAGGCCTTTGTTTTCTGCTTGTTTTCTGAACCAGACAAGTCACTTCACTGCTTCTGAAAATAATGGAATAGTTTTCCCCATATTAATCCTTTGGGGGGAAGGAGAGAGGAGAAGAATTTATCATAAACCTCTCACAAGAAGCATTTGGTATCAGCTATGTGGCACATTTCTTTCCAGTGAAGACCAAGTGACCTGATAGTGCATAAGGGTGATTCAGAGAACATGACAGGGAGGAATCATTCAGCACATAATCCCTTTTAAATTGTCTTAAGGCAGATAAAGCATCATGGACCCAAGTATGAAAATTTGTGCCTAAATTCTTTTTTGTGTCTTTTGTGTAGAAAGGAATGTGATACCCTTTAACTTTCCCTCCAACTGTCCTATAACCCATTGATGTTAGGGCTACCTCCTCAGGGAATGAAGAGATCGGAGACTTGTCTCTTTTCCCCCACATCAGGAGTACAGCTGCATCCAGACTACCTACTGGAGTGGTCTGATGTTACCTGCAAGCTGTGCCTAAGGATTTTTTGGCAGAGGGCTGACTGGCACAGAGAAGAACTGGCAGGGACAATGTTAACGATTAAAAAGCCTGGAAAACCATAGGATATTGCTGAAGTCTCTGCCCTGACCTTGTTTTGTTTACTAGTTTAGATAAAATGTGGAAGATATAATTACAGATTATGTCTTTTTCAGGAGCTAGAGGGTTTTGTGGTGCATGTTCTTTTGTGAAACACTGCTGAGGAGAGAGTTAGAGATTTTCCTTGTGCTAGAAATTCAGCCCATAGAGAGCTGCACTCCTGGAATGTTTAGACAGATAATTAAAGCAACAAAATTCAGGGCAGCCAAAGATATGATTGACCTTGCTCAAAATTTCATCTTCCCCTTTACTCATCGCTCTTCCCCAGCTTCCCATACAACTCACAAAGGGCCCTCTTTGCCTGCTTGCACTGTAATAGGTTAACCTGACATGATATTCTAGCAACATAGATCATGCATATGTATAAGAGGAAAAAAAAAAAATTAAAATTGAAAGTCTTAATGGGAGCTGAGGGATGCCGTAGCCTACAAAAAAAAAGTTTCAAGGTACTTGGCCCCTGCTTAATTTCAGAAGGGAAAGGTACACTGTTTAGACATTGTATGGTTTGTATGGATAAATTTGGGAGTTCAACTATATTACATGCGTGAACTCTGAAGCTTCAAGCTTCCTTTCAGTCTTTCAGCTTAGTTCAGTAGCTAAGAGATGCTGTTGATCCTGCTTAATGCCATCAGGACAGGGGATCTGGCCCCAGTGAAAGTGTCTCTGAATGTACCGGTGTTTGGTTTAGTTTTAAAGCTAACATTGCAGCCAAATAATTTAATATGATTTCTGTCTGAATTCATTAAAATGAATTTACAATTAAAAAAAATTTACAACAACATAGCAACTACCAATCTGTTACTTCCTAACTTTTGAGCACCTGATTTTGCAGACTAGATAATTTCATTATTAGAAAAGCTCCATGTAATTAAATATATTATAGTGTCAAGAAGAATATACTAACCAGTGAAGATACATGGAAAAATGTTGTAGCTTCCACAAAATTATTAGCTAAATGGGCAAAAGAATATTAAGAAAAAAGAACACACATAGAAAATATACTCATTCTTTGATTACAACTGTACCTTAAAAACTGGGTGGTTCTGGGTTCCTCTTTTTCTGCATAAATTATCGCTGTTAGTGGTGCAGGTATTAACCCCCTCCACCAGCTGCAAAGTTGCATGCAGGGGACTCTAATTTCAAGTAGCCACAAACAACAGGAAAAGAAAATCTCTTTAGAATTCGAAGATCCTATCTTCTTTGAGCATCCTTACTGATAATAACCAGGTACTAAAATAACTAGGAATCAAGAAAGTAATCTGTCATTAAATTAGTGAACAGTGGAGTCCCCTTCTGATTTATTTTTTTTAAGACCCGCAGGTAAAGTTCCAAATTTCCTTGATTTCGCTAATTGCACTTTTGTTTAAATGTTCCATTTAAAGTCTCTGTAGCTGTTAGTGTTACAAATCCTCTGATTTTGGACAGCAAAACATTTGGAGTAAGCCTTTTAGTCTTAAAGCTCTCCTAGCACGTATGTGTGTATGAGTCATACATCTATGAATGCTGATGGCTCCCAACTGTGGGTCTGAGAATATGAAAACAAGTGCATTCCTTGGAAAAGAATTCCCTGTTTTACAGCTTTAGATACGTGGATTACAAATAAAGCTGCAAAGATAGCCAGAAATACTAAACTTCTTGCTAGAGTGAAGTCTTTCCTGGTTTTCCACTTTTTTCTTCCACTTTCTTCAGGCATCCTTTTTCAGATGAAGGAATGGAGATTTGACATACATGACTAGACCACTTTCCCATCAAAACCTGCATTCATACCTAGTTCTAGATATTTTTTTTTTTTAATCAGTTTGGGAAAATGGAATTTTGAAGTCATAACACAGGGAAAGGGGATGCAATGTCTGGAGACGGGTCAGCAAAGCTCAAGGGAGGAAAAAAGTCTCTGTCTAGGATAGTGCAAACCTGCAATACTGGGGACAGTGCAAAAGCCCTGCAGCTGCCATTTCCTGACAGTGCTGGGCCAGCGTGATTGCCTCCTTATCATGTTGGATCCTCAGAGTTCTTGCAAATCTAGGCTCAGTCTGTAAAGTTGCTTTACAGGCCATAACAGAGAGCAACAGAAAGGGTTCCTTCTCAGAGGCCATACCAGTCTAGTAGGGTTTATCAGTCTGAATTTGACATACTGTGTTCCTAAAATGAAAAGGACCTCCAAGTATAGATGAGAGTCCAAGCTGTCTTTCTGAGTGAAAAAAATGACAGTACTGTAGTTGGGAGTGTTCCACAAGTCCAAGAGAAAGTACTTGTCTCAGGAAGTCGTATTTATAGGGGAAGAAGTCCAACAAATCAAATGACTTAGCTAAATCTCAGAGATGCTCTTTAATGTAAGGTTCTACATGCACTGATGAGTCAGTGTAGGGCAAATCAGTTTTCCTCAGAGAAATATGAAACTTAGAAAGCATAAAGTGCAAATTTATTTTTCCAGTGGAGTCACTACAGCACGCAGAGAAAGACACATTTGTTGTGGTACACTCTAGAAAGGTCTGTGCTAACTTTTTAGTTTAGATCAGGAGTGTACATTTGAAGGAAATCTCTCCGTTTTCCCTACCCATGCTTTGTCTGCATTCCTGAGCAGTGTTGGATTTCAAACCTGGATTCCTTCTGGATGCAAATAAATTGTGGAATGTACTCCAGTAAGTCTCCTGGACCAGTCTAGAGTGGGCCCAAAGTAAGCCCTCAAGCCCACATAGTGTGGACAGCAGGTCCTCAGCACAGATTGTTTTGCTCTACAGATCCTTTCCTATTACACCACTTTACTTGCTAAAATACATAAAGTGACTCTGGGACCTACAGAACAGGAATGATGGCTCAGCAGGAGCCTTAGAAATCAGAATAGGACCACCAAGCTGACCCACTGCCTTTAAATCTCCTACTGTATCCTTTCTTTATTTAAATAACCTTAAATACCCTTTTGGGGTTTTTTATGTCTTCTCAATATAGATATTTTATGGAAAAAAATAAACTGTGCTTCCTGAGCTGTTTTGATATTTAATGCTCTATGAAAAATGCTTCTGATATCCTGATAATATCATTTGTCAGCATGATATGCAGTATAGATATAAATGGTTTGTTACTGTTCTTTCCTTAGGGCTTAAATCTTTTTTCTTGCCTCCTTTTTCAGCTCAAAGAAATGTTCCACTATATCAAGTCTGCATTAAGCTGTGTCAGGAGTCAGGCACTGTAATAAAAGAATCTTAGAAAAATTCCCCTTTCTGCCTTCAGTAAACTGGATGTACCAAGGGGCTGGGACATTTGGGATGCTTTCATTGGTTTTTCCATTTAATCAAAATGCCTGCTGAGAATAAGGAAGATAGCTTACTCCGAACTCTTTGAATGGGGAGATTCTTTTTTTTTTTTTCTGTAAGAATCATTTGTCCTATTACTATGTTCATTTTTTGCAATTTAAATTAAGATGCAGTTCTCCTATGGAGAAACTATTTTGAAATTTTCCTACTGTTCCTAGACGTGAAAGGCAAAATACTCTTTTTTTTTTTTTTTTTTTTTTCAGAGATTTGATCATATGTTGTAGGGCATGGCTATTTCTGGCAGGAATTGTCGATCAAATTCTGGAAAAACAGGGAGGAATTAGCCTAACCTTCCCTTCAGCCTGGAGCTGGACTATCTTGAGGTCCCTGAAGGCCCCTGCCCATTATACTGCCCTGACGGAGTGCTGTTTGTTCCCACATATCATTCACAGTATACATTTCTTATACGAAACACTCCAGTGCACAAACTGCCACACAATTTCAACTTGTTTGAAAGCAACAGCCTTACCCCTGGGCAGGATTTGTATTATGTGGAAGTAGTGTTAAATTGTGAGGAAGATCTGTAGAGAGTTTCATGTAATGAATTTCTGAAAAGACAACCAGCATTTTAGTCTTTTAGATCTCAGGAGAAGCACCTGCTTGACCTCTTATTAACAGTGAAATCAAGTTGTTTCTTTCTGTCAGAGCAAACATTTGAACAGGCACATACATTGCAGGAGATAGTCAAGAAACAGTATTTATTGTGTTTACGTACTACTAGACCAAACATCAGGAATTATTTTCAAAGAAATCCAGTGGGCTTCCTCAGCTGGTCCTTAAGCCAAGAATACTCTGTAGATGAGGCATGATGAGGTAGGTACAGGACCTTGGTATCCTTTATATGTCCTGTCAGGCAGAGTTACTATAGTCATCGCAAACCAACGAGAATTTCTGTGCCAGGCCTTAGTGTTTCTCACCACAGTAAATGTTCGTGCCATTGTTTATTCTTCTCACATGTACAAAGACATTCTATGATACTAAGTTCTTAATTTTAAATTTACGCTTCAGTAACACTATTCTCTGCTTTATTTTATATGTAAGAAGTTGTTCCTATTTTTTTTGGGGGGGGGAGGGGTGAGCACAGGGGAAGGTTGGCTTGTGTTCTCTATTCTCTCCCGTCCCATGCCTGTATGTCCAAGCATCTGCCTCAGAAGACTTCCTGATTTTGAAATGGGGAATTCTGTACTACTTTCAGATGACCTCAGAGGCACTGTATGTAAAGCACCTAAAAACTTGAACACCTTGTTCTGTTTCCTTATCTTTCCTGTTGAATATTACTGAAAACTGCTGATGCAAACAGCAATGCAGCAATTACCAAGGCAAATTAACATTACTGAAATGTTTGACTTTCTCTTTACAGGAAGTACCTGATAAGAACAAAGCCAATGGACTATATTTTAGAGATGGGAAATGTCGGATTGACTACATCCTGGTATATAGAAAATCTAATCCACAGACAGAAAAGAGGGAAGTATTTGAGAGAAATATCAGAGCAGAAGGTCTTCAAATGGAAAAAGAGGTAAGAAAACTTTCTTGAAAAAAAATTCCAACATTTAAAGCTGTGTAGAATTTGAGGGTATGAGTTTTGTTTACTCTGAAACCCCTTTACTCTGTTGTAGCAGTGGAAAAATGCTTTTAAGCATGCCTAAATATAGGCTATTTATTGCCAGAGCAGCGGGAAAGCATAGCCTAAAGTAAAATCAGACACATGAACTGAAGGACAAAACATGCCATTACAGTCATCTTTTTCAACCTTATGCACAAGTAGGCCACGGAATTTCATCCACTGTACTGTGCAGTCGAGAAAACAAGTGTTGGGTTTGGATGGCCTAAATTCTATTGAGTGCAATTCACATTATCCACACCTACATTTCCTGTTAGCTACCTGCTCCACTCTGCTGAGGCTCTTGGTACTCTTTCCAGAGACATAACTAAACCCCTGCCTTCCTTTTCCTGTCAGCTTAGGCATAGGGACTTGAGCGGTATTTTGGTAGTTTGAAAACAGCCAAAAATCTCTCCTTTTGCCTTAAACTTAAACATTGAAATAATTGTACAGAGGAGGGCTCTGCAGAGAGACCTGGACAGGCTGGATCGATGGGCCGAAGCCAACTGTATGAGGTTCAATAAGGCCAAGTGCTGGGTCCTGCACTTCGGTCACAACAACCCCATGCAGCGCTACAGGCTTGGGGAAGAGTGGCTGGAAAGCTGCCTGGTGGAAAAAGACCTGGGGGTACTGGTTGACAGCTGGCTGAATGTGAGCCAGCAGTGTGCCCAGGTGGCCAAGAAAGCCAATGGCGTCCTGGCCTGTATCAGAAATAGTGTGGCCAGCAGGAGTAGGGAAGTGATTGTGCCCCTGTACTCGGTGCTGGTGAGGCCGCACCTCGAATACCATGTTCAGTTTTGGGCCCCTCACTACAAGAAAGATGTTGCATTGCTGCAACATGTCCAGAGGAGAGTCACAAAGCTGGTGAGGGGTCTGGAGCACAAGTCTGATGAGGAGCGGCTGAGGGAACTGGGGCTGTTCACCCTGGAGAAGAGGAGGCTGAGGGGAGACCTTATCGCCCTCTACAACTGCCTGAAAGGAGGCTGTAGTGAGGTGGGGGTCGGTCTCTTCTCCCTGGTAACAGATGATAGGACGAGGGGGAATGGTTTGAAGCTGCACCAGGGCAGGTTTAGGCTAGACATTAGGAAAAACTTCTTCACTGAAAGGGTTGTCAGGCTCTGGAATGGGCTGCCCAGGGAGGTGGTCGAGTCCCCATCCCTGGAGGTATTTAAAAGAAGGATAGATGAGGTGCTTAGGGACATGGTTTAGTGGTGGGATGGCAGGGTTAGGTTAAAGGTTGGACTCGATGATCTTAAAGGTCTTTTCCAACCAAAGTGATTCTATGATTCTATGATTCTCCTACTTCGTAATTTTTGCAGATTTATTACTGTGCTAAGGTCAGCAATGGAAGCTATGAAATCACTTTATATTTTAAGTATTATGAAACTTATTACAACATTCTACACAGAAAACTTTTTCAAATAGATGATTTAAGTGCTTACTATAGAGTTTTATTGTGGTTTTCAAGCCCATTTACTTGGACTTTGCTACCTAGGCTACATGAATGTTCTGCCCATTTGATTATTCAGTTTCTATTATGCTACTGACATGCAGTTTTATTTCTTCTTAATCTCATTTGGCCTTGGTGTGACTTCTTGTCAGCATCAGTAATTGTACATTTTCTAAACTCAGAGTGATCAAAATGAGGCTGTGTTACGTGACTCAGGCTAATGCTTTTAAAATCTAGGGTAGCAATCTTTTTTAACAGATGACTCTGACCTAAAATTAAACACTAGCATGTATATTTTATGACCACGTTAGTTTCCATGTTGAATTATAATCCTGAAGGAAATAAGTACATTCTTGGTACACTCCCTTCCCCTCCCCACAGAGTAACAACTGTGCTGCATAACACTTAGGTTTTAAACTAAGTGGTGTGATCGGTTAATGCCTAGATTAATTCTCCTTTTTTTTTTTTTTTTTTTACTTCTTTTGGTGAGACTATGCATCACTCTGAGTTTCAGTTCTGGAAGATTTTAACAGAAGGTCTGTTTTCTAATTGTTCATATATAATATATTGCTTCCACTGGGAAAAGTTTGTGCCTGGATAAAATGAGAGAATTGTCTGAGAGTTTGGCCACAGACCTTATACAGAGGTAACAGGCTGTAACCGCTGGACTGAAAAAAAACTTTTTATCTTCCGTGAATTTTGTGTGGTTGTTGGTTCATTATCCTTTGACTTCTGGCTGTTCATGTATTGACATTCGATTGTGTTAGTCCTGTCTTTTTTATGTGAAGTCAGTGGAAGAGAGGAAAACTTACAGAGCAGTTCCCACTGCAGTTTCAAAACCATATTCCTCAGTAACACTGCAGAAAAATGCACTGCAGTGGTTCTTTGACAAGTGTAGCACAGCAAAATACCCAAGAAACGGTGGGCACAGGGAGCAAAGTGTTCACTTAACAGCATGAAATGAGAAAGTGAATCTGAAATGAATGAATAAATGTTGAGATAACTTCAGGCACAATGTCAAGATCACATAGCTGAGAAAGGTCTGAATGGATATATGTTTCTAACTCTAGAAAAAGGTGATAAAATTTTGCAGATATTCCCCAACAAATTTACACTCACATTCTTCAGTTATACCACACCCTCTTCCATGGAAGTTCTGCCAGGTCTGGTGCTCTGTATATTCGGTAGTAAACAACAAGGAGATCTCAGGCCAAGAAACAGTTCATTGAATTAGCGAAGGTATGGAAAACAGAGCTCTAAGAGTGAATGCTAATTGAGTGGAACAGCATAAATAATTTTCTGATCTTTCTCCCCTCTTTTCATTGTATATTGGGACTGGATGGGATAACTGTTGTCCCAGTCCAACATGGATCATATCCAATACATACGGTCGTATGCATAGAAGCTCTAAGTAAGTTAATTGAAAATATAGGTCACTCCAGGAAAAAAGACTGTATTTTCTTTTCAGCCAGATATAAACTCTCCTACATTGATTTTTCCTTTTTTTACAGTGACTCACAAGTGAAATAACTATGATATCCTGGCTCTGGGATTCTTGACGACCCTACTGTTTTCATTTGTTAATACCCTTTGACACAGACTTATATATTGGGTAAAATGGAAAGGGCAGTCTCCAAATGGAGCAAGTTCTTATCAGAGATGAGGTACCAGTAGCATTGCTGGTTTGTAGGTACTGATACCCTCTGTAAATATTACACAAGATTCATACCTTCCAGAGTTGATTGGAAAATGCTTAACAGGAGACAGGGTACTACTGTCCACATTCTGAGGGTATGTTTCGTATTTATACAAATACGAGATAAACCTAAGACTGGGATCAGCCCATTGACTCTCAGAAAAAAAAAAACTTATGATGACTGTAATGTAAAGAGAAAATACAGATAGTGTCTGTCATTCCAAATATAGTGTCCATCCCTCTGGGACAGTAAAAAACCAGCATTTGTCTGGGCCCATGATATTTTTCACAAGAATAAAGATTTATAATTTCATCCTCTTGGCCAAAATCCAGTTAAGTTCGCTTATCCCAAATTATTCCTGCATCTTCAACTAATGTATTTTAATCCCTATACTAAATGGCCAGGTAGAACTAAATTGCTGTAACAGTAACTATGCTGTGCTGGTATGTGGATTACAGAGATCTTTCAGTGAGATACTTTAAATTATACTACACTAATAGAGCGTGCATAGAGGTAGCCAGCATGGAGCAGCTAACATGCATAACTTGTTCACTTGCAAACTATTTAAGCTGGACTGTAATGCAATGCAAATGGAGGATAGAGGTAAGGTAGTTGAAAGAAATCTATGCTGGATGAACAAACACAGACCAGCCTTGGATTTGTAATTTGTAAAAGAGAAGAAGGTGGTCATCTTAGATTAAACACTGTGTATCTAAAATGAATCTGATGTTGGGCAGGATCTGCTCCTGTAGCCCTAGGAATAGACCACATTTAGTTTAAATTTGAATGGTTTTGAGGGGTTTTTTGCTTCTCATGACAGCACTGAACTAGTTCATACAGAGACTACTAAATGTACTTCATACATTTTGCATAATGATTGTGTCCAAAGTTTTTAATTTATAATTTCTAAGCTGATTTGATACAGTTTATTTGATAAGGCATTTGACACACCAGTAGAAATGCATAGATAGAAATGTAGTAAAGGGGAACGAATCACAGAAGTAGCAAAAGTAGTATTCAGACATTTTATTTTTTATATTTTGTATATTTATATATACTAATGTTTCGGTATAAAAGTAATTAACTGCTTTAAAGAAATAGCATTCCTTAGTGCCTTAAAAGGCAGGTCTCCTCACAGCTACTGGATGTGGAATATGTTTCAGGAACTAGTTTCAGATATTTTACTAACAGCAGTCAATCCATTTGAGCTCCTGTCTGCACATTGATCTTTGCATCTCCCAGGTGAAAGAAGATGTTAGTGTAGTGTACTGGTCTGGTTTTCAGGAACAATCCAAATTGTGTGGGTTTTGGGTTACATGCTCAAATAAAAATTTAAACATTGCCACCACAAGTGTCAAGCTGTCACCAGGGCATCTCTAATTGCATTCACTTCCTGCCTGAAACAGCAGCTGACATTTCTGGGGCAACATCTGGCAGCCGATATGCACAATAGGTAGTAGAAATATACAATAGGTATTCTCTGGTGAAAAACCAGAAAGACAGGGAAGAAAAGCGCAGTATAAGCTTTGCTTTTGATGTATGAACAAGTATCTACTAGCAGATATAATCTGAGTCTGTAAATTATGTTAATCTGAGTCTGAAATTTATGTTTTGAGATCTTTTTCAGTAGATGATGCAATATAACTACAGGATACTACTGTTTCATGACTTCAAGTTTTCAAGCAGATGTAGCCAAGTTCATGGCGAGGTGGCAGGAGTTCTCTGAAGCAGTTGCTCTTAATGTGGCTGTAACTTTGTGCTAATGGGGC